GTAGTCCAAAAAGCCAATTGAAATTCAAATTGGCAAGTGCCGTCCTTAGCACTGTGGCTGATTTAAATCCTTATAATGACTTGCAGAGCTAGACAGTACTAGAAAACACTTGGTTAATAAGTATTCCCATTCCACTCATGTCTTGCCCCATATTTTTGGGGACTTACCCAAGATATGTAATAAAAACTGCCCTACAAATTTACAGCTAGCTTTAAGAGTTTCTACAAGGATAACTACAAAATATAGGGCACAATGTAATTGGTGGTCCTCTAGCAAGTACATAATTATTACACAATTATTTTACAGGTAGCAGTGGGGCCTGTTTGCATGTTGATGCAAGACTTATTTTCATCAAAGCTTTCAACTTTCCCCCACTCATTTCCTCAAAATGGCAGTATCTTCCTATCAAGAATTCAGTGGGAAAACTGGCATTTGCTTTAACTTGCATATTGACTAATTAGCAAGGCAGCTCAGTGAGTTCTTGCTGTTGGAAAGCAGTATCAATTTTTAAACCCACTTCTGTTTTCTAAAGACTGCTTAAGTCATCTCAATGTATCTGGTGATACTTAGCTCCTAAATTAGAGACCTTTTGTGGCTCCAGAGGTATCCCAAGTGACATGGCCACTGATTCCCCGTGCTGCAGTGAATATTAACTGCCAAACAGTAATGGAAGTTAGGTCTTATTCTGAATTCACCTAGACCTTTTCCTGCTTTTAAAGTTACATCATGTACCCAAATTCATCAGAAAACTAAATTGAAGACCAGGCTGATCTTTTTAAGAATGATCTTTTTAAGAACGTCTCGTAATTTCTTACGAATACAACTGAAGATAATGTTATCTTATCTGGTGATGCAATTTTCCACCTAGCTTACAGGTTTGTTGCAATATTTCTTCTCGCAGTCAGTGGGAATTGCTGTTTACAGAGCAACACTTGACCTGCACAGTCCCACAGGCAGAGGAACTAGTGCTGAAAACCACTTTACACAACACCAAGCATTTGTTCTTTCAAATACTTCCTCTCCTAGTTTCAGATTGCAGACAAATTAGCCTCTTGATCCTAAGCCTCTGACTCAGACAAGTCTTCTGTTAGTTCCATGATGGGCCTCGTACCACCACACATGTGCAGAGACCAGCAGGTGGGTGTCCTTCCACTGTCACCCATCTTTGGAACACAACAGGACATTTCCTACAAGGGTGTCCCATCTTGTTTCTATTTTACATAGAGATTCCAAGTTTGCATATCAGAGGTCTTAATCTGCAAGCATGCTTTAATAGCCAGATATGTCTTTTTCCTAGAATATTTGTAGTTATTTCAGATGTTAGTCCATAGTTCCCTTCAGCAAGCCCAACAGTCAGGAAGAAAGCTCAAGTCAGACACATTCCAGAAGCCTGGCTTGGCAAGAGATGAAGAAAGTCAGTTTAAAACTATGCTGATACCGAATGTGGGCAGAAAGACTGCCTGCCTTTTCCCAGTAAGGGTGTTGCAAGAATTTGGAATCATTTCCTGAACAGCAGAAGGAAAGCCAACTCGCATCCTAGCCTGTAAGCGTGGATACAGGTTTGATTTGTGGTAAGAAGGCCAGTTTCATGTTTAGGAGAAAACCCCTGGGCTCCTATTCAACATTAACATAAGCCAGCCACAAAACCTGTAGACCTGCTTAAAGGAGAGGACTTGTATATCCTGTCAAGTGCCTTCAGCTTCTCCTCCATCACTGCCGTGATTTAGTGACAATCCACATGCCACCTGCAGCCACCTCTCCAAGTGCACTCGATTCCCTAACTGCAGGGGCTCACCGGCCACCTCCACCTCCCTCCAAGCACTGGCGTTCCCATGAAATTCCAGGGCACATCGTCACCCCGCTGGCAGCAAGCCTGGCCCAATTATGAGCACTGCAGGATCTCGAGGAGTTATCAGCATCACGGGAGATCGAGTCACAGATTTGCAGGCCGAGATTCCCCCAGAAACCAGACAAAGCAGTTCAACCTTTGCCGTATCCATAGGTGAAGCAACCTAGGAAAGCAGGTCAGGCACCCGAGCTGCTGCTTTCCGAAATGGCCACTGAAGGCAGAGGCAGAAGATTGAAGACCCTGAGCACTCCTTACAGGCTAGAGATCATTGCTGCTGCAGTCTCAAGGGGTCCCTGCTGGCCTCCAAGCCCTTCTGCTGCTCCAAAGCCTCTGGGCTGGGGGCAGGAGTGCCATATTTTGCTCTTTTCAATAGAAAAGTAGAAACCACCGACTTCCTTTAACACCAGTTTACGCAAACATGCGTTAGCATCGCTATCTGATGAGGGTTTGGAGCCACGGGTGGGGACCAGAATGACCATGTGGATCAGTTCATAGGGCCAAGCGGAGGGGAGGTCACACACCACCACACACACCCCAGCCTCACCCACACCCTTCCTCTCCCCAACTCCCGAGTCAAATACGTGACTGATTCATTTTAGATTAGAAACATGAAATCAGAGCCAGATACAGCACACTCACCCCTCGAGGGGTTACGAGCGGCCCCTCGGGGGTACCAAGGGCAGGAGGGGGTTTAACCCCCCGCCGCCCCGCCGACCGTTGGGGCAAGATGGCGCCCCGCGGGTCGCA